GTTATGGCAGCATCATAGCGTCACCTCCACAGCATGGCCTAGCTTCGGATTTGGTCTCTCTAGAGCTCCCTGACCCGGCACTCGATCCAAAGGATGATATGTCCTATTCGCCCCCAAAAGGAGCAATACGTCGAAGTGTACCAAAGACCCCGTCACCTGTGATGTCCCGGCGTGACACCAATCGAAGTTTGTGTCGGGATGCCGCCAGTAAGAGTCCTGCCGCAAAGCACGCGGGGAGCAAGGGAAGCTTGAGAAACAATTTGGCTGGGCCTTCCACTACGAGGACGTCTCAAATCCTCAAGCGTGTCTTCTCGCAGCCAGACTGGGAACAACCGCCCGAGAAACGCGCGCAGACTGACACTCCCTTATCAGAGGTCGAACGACGAGAGGATGAATTTTTTGCGTTTCTGGATGGCGAGTTGGCCAAGATCGAATCTTTCTACCAGATGAAGGAGGATGAAGCCACCCAGCGCTTACAGGTCCTCCGACAACAGCTGCATATCATGCGAGATAGGCGGATACAAGAGATTTTGGGCGTCAAGTCAAAATTCAACAAAGATGAGGAGCATCAGTCGAACGGATTCAGCACATTGAATGCTCTCAACGCCTTTCATCTGAAGGAGACATTGCTGGGGCGTGGTCGCATTGGGAAGAATTCCAAAGCGCTGGCGAAGATGAACCCGCCGGCCGCGATTCAAGCGCAGAATCCTGAGGCGGTTTCGGGTCGTAGAGACTTCATGCGCCGACCAGAGGACTCACAGAACGATGATGTTACTTATCGGGCTGCGAAACGGAAGCTGAAATATGCACTCCAAGAGTTTTATCGTGGACTTGAGCTGTTGAAGGCGTATGCCTACCTTAATCGCACGGCCTTCCGGAAGATCAACAAGAAATATGACAAGCTGGTCAATGCACGCCCTACGATGAGGTACATGTCAGAGAGAGTCAACAAAGCGTGGTTCGTGCAAAGTGAGGTCGTAGAGAACTTGATGGCTGCTACCGAAGACCTATATGCTCGCTATCTCGAGCGTGGGAATCGCAAAATCACTATCTCCAAACTTCGCCATACGATTAACAAGTCGGGCGACTATTCTCCAAACACGTTCCGTGCCGGACTTCTTTCAATGGCCGGTGTCTTGTTCGGCATCCAGTCGTTAATCTACGCTAGTCGGCACCTTGAGCAATCGGACCCTAGTGTACAGGTCCAAACCAGCTATTTACTTCAGGTCAGTGTCGCCTCGGGAGAAGATGGCAATGCTGTCACATATAACTCCATAACTGACTCTAGCAGATATATGGCGGTTACTTTCTTATTGTCTGTCACTTCCTACTCTTCTGCTTCGACTGCATGATCTGGACTAAGACCAAGATAAATTACGTTTTTGTCTTTGAATATGATACGCGGCATGCTCTTGATTGGCGTCAATTGTCCGAGGTACGATCCCTTGCCTCATGTGTCTCAGATTTGATCTAACTCTTGACAGCTACCTTGCTTCTTCATGTTCATGCTAGGCTTGTTTATGTGGCTTAATTTCCTCACCATAAATTCCATGTATGTCTATTGGCCTGTTGTGCTGGTCGGCCTCACAATGATTATCTTGTTCCTGCCTGCCCGTGTGTTATACCACAGAAGTCGAAAATGGTGGGCATATTCGAACGTAAGTGCCCCTGCATTATTTCAAAGAGATTCAGCTGACAATAATAGTGGCGTCTTATGCTTGCTGGTTTATACCCTGTCGAGTTTCGCGATTTCTTCCTCGGCGATATGTATTGCTCGCAAACATACGCTATGGGGGTGAGTTCTATCCAATGCATCTTGAAAGATAGTTTGCTAATGTTTGAAAGAACATCGAGTTATTCTTCTGTCTTTACGCACATCACTGGAACAATGCTCCGCAATGCAATTCATCTCACTCCCGGCTCCTAGGATTCTTCCAGTGCTTACCATCGATTTGGAGAGCATTGCAATGCCTCCGTCGTTACACGGATACTAAGAACGTATTTCCACATCTCGTGAATTTTGGCAAATACATGTTCGGAGTCCTTTATTACACCACGTTGAGCATGTACCGTATCGAGAAGATGACGCGGTTCCAGGCTCCCTTTGTCACTTTTGCCTTGCTCAACGCCGTCTATACCTCGGTTTGGGACTTGATTATGGACTGGAGTTTGGGGAATCCTTATGCCAAACATCCACTGTTGCGCGAAGTTTTGGCATTCCGAAAGGCTTGGGTCTACTACGCCGCGATGGTCGCCGATGTCATCATACGTTTCAACTGGATTTACTATGCTATTTTTGCCAGGGATATGCAACACTCAGCTTTACTGAGTTTTATGGTCGCCCTGTCTGAGATCTTTCGAAGGGGCATCTGGACGATATTCCGTGTGGAAAATGAACACTGTACCAATGTGCTTCTTTTCCGAGCTTCAAGGGATGTCCCTTTGCCTTACGAAGTGGCTTCTCCCGAGGTCGAAGTAGATCGTCCGGGAGAGGATCTGCAGCTTCAGGACCAACACACGACCACACCTCTGTCCGCTCCTGCAGACATTGAACAGGGAACGCCACTTACACCAGGGCTGGCTAGTCGTCCGCGTGGCCTTTCTCGCGTTGGTTCGCTCATGGCAGCTGCTCATGCTCAAGACTTCGAGCGGAGGAAGCGTCCAGACCAACTGCCTGGGGCTTCTGCAACCCACGGCCCGATAACTACCGACGACACAAGTGACGAAGAGGAAGATGATCCGGTTGACCCTAGACAAGATACCGACACAGATGAAGCTGGGTCGGAACGCTTGTCGGATGCAAACGCTCGAAGAACACCCAAGTAATGGACTATTGGGAGAGTTCTATGAACCGATTTCTTGCACATATTTGGCGTCTTAACGGGAGCATTTTGATTAATGACTTACTGATTTGTTTATGCCATGATTTACGACTATAGAAGATAGATAATACAATCACTGACAATACGAGTACGATGGCCTTCTTTTGTAATTCTTCGTTTCTTTCATGTTCGACGACTTGTTCGACTTCGTTCTATGCTGCGGCGGCACCACGTGATGGAAGACGTCACATGCTCTGGAAGCTCCCCCCAGCCGCATCATATCGAGCCTATCTGTCGCCTTGCCATCATCGTCCATTAGAGGACTCATCGTTTTCAGCCATCTTTCTGCACACAGAGAATCCTTCAGCCTCGAAACTGCAGCAAAATGGCTGCCAACGCCAGATACGAACCAGCTCCTCAAAGGGACTCCTTCGAGGACCAACCTTACCCTCAGGCCCCGCCCTCTTATCAGGCAACCGCGAGCCATGATGCGCCTCGCAGTGAGGACGACAATGTCCCCGACGACTTCAAGGTACGCGCAACGCAACCCGAACTCATCGATAGATGACAATACTGATTGTAATCCATAGTTTGGCGGCACCGTTGCGGAGGGCACCCTGCCCATCCGTATGCAGTTCATCCGCAAGGTCTACGCGATCCTGTAAGCAGCTCCCCTCGCAAGCTATACATACAGCGCCTGGCAACTAACAATAATCTCCGCGATCAGGACCATCCAGCTCCTCCTCACAACAATCATGAGTTCGATCTCTTTCTTCAGCAACAGCTACCGCCTCTGGATCCAGTCCAACTTCTGGCTCATGATGGTCTCCGTCTTCGGCGCCCTCGGCTTCATGCTCGTCACTTACTGGAAGCGCAAAAGCTACCCCGCCAACCTCCTCTTCCTCTCCGGCTTCACCCTGCTAGAAGCCTACTCCATCAGCGTCGTGACCTCCTTCTATGACGCCCGCATCGTCATCCAAGCGCTCATCCTCACCCTGGGCATCTTCGTCGCGCTCACCCTGTTCGCCTGCCAGACCAAATACGACTTCACGAACTGGATGCCCTACCTCTTCGGGGCCCTGTGGTTCCTGATTCTCTTCGGGTTCATGGCGGCGTTCTTCCCGCGCAATAGCACCGCCGAGCTGATCTACGGTGGTCTGGCGGCATTGGTCTTCTCGGCTTATATTCTCGTTGATACTCAGCTGGTTATGCGCCATTACCATGTTGAGGAGGAGATTGCCGCTGCGATCTCGCTTTACCTGGACATCCTGAACCTGTTCCTGGCGATTCTGCGGATTTTGAACAACCAGAATAGTCAGTAAGTAATTTCGATATGGATACGCGGTGGCCACCGGTCGAATTTAAAGATGGTCAAAGCACACTCTATCCTCAATCTCGCCAGCGATCTAGCAATAACGAATTCAAGATGACAGCACTATGGCGCTTTAATCTGCAACGTTCCAAGGCTAACTACCAACCCTCAACTATTTTTACACTCGCTCCCCTCGACCATGATTTATCCCGTATTCTATTAATGAGCGTTCCCCCTTGCACTCTGCTTTCCTGCTCCTTTGCTACAGTCGGGGCTTTAATGATCGAATCTCTATCATAACAGGAACCGGGCAATTTTTACTTCTCTGACCAGTACCATCGAGAATAGTAGCTTATATTCAGAATATCAAGCAATGATTTGTGAACAGATATGTGGGATGTAGGCCTACCACTCAGCAAGTAGTCCAAATAAATTGCCATCATACTATCAAAGCAAACGCCATTCGCCTGATCAAGAAAAGGGTTTGATTTCACGACTCAAAGGAATGAACCCGATATCTATCAGAGTAGAAGTTAAACATAGTAGTAAGATAAGGACCTTTAACGGAAAATGTAAACGTATCAGCTAGGCCGATCCAAACTGACCTTCCAACGCCTATGGATGGTATCGCCGCGACAAAGTTTCAAGCAAGTAAATAGGTAGTAAATAAGTAGATAATATAGAAAGGAAGGGGTTACAGGCCAAGTCACACTATGAAAGGACGGAAGGTTGTCCAAACACGCCCGCTGCGAGAGAATGATGAAGTCAAAAGTTGGAGAAAAAGTAAAGGAATGATTCGAACCAAGTTTATCATAACAGGGAGACGATGACAGGCGCCCATTTTTTATCATAGTGACATGGCAATTTCAGTGCGAAGCGATGAAGAATGTATTCACAATCAAACAAACGATCATGACAAGGACGCCGTATACCACGAGCGCTAAACTCAGCTTTCGCAGCAAGCCTCGGCGCCAGTGTCGGTTGGTGAGTCGGAGAATTGCGCTGTCGGTAAGTGGTAGGTTCTGGCCGCCCTCGATATCGTTTTCGTCGGCATTGTCGTCGTCGGAGAGAATGTTCTCAACTGCTTCGTCATCTTCTTTCATGAGTCGCTGATGGGTTGGCGAGTCAGGAGACGAAATTTTATAGTAGAAAAGGCCCGGAAGGATGAAGCTGATGCTAGTACTTCCGGTGCTACCAACGTACGCCAATACCGCTTCAAGCGAGGAGACGGTCATCGCCACGATATAGCTTAGAATAAGAATAGTCGTCGTAATGATCGAGAACCGCAGATCACTCATGGGCTCGGGAGCTCGGTGGCCCCTTGGCCCGAGCAGAGGGTGACGGTGAGGCGAGCTCTCGCTTCCAGCAGCAGGCTTAGGTCTCCAGCGAAGCACTGCGTCAATAGACGCTCGACACGGGTGGCATTGAAGCGGGTATGAAAACATAACAAGCATGACGATAGCGGCACGTCCAATGGTCGCCCAGACACCTGGTGGGTACATGCTCACAATGTTACCCCCGACGTTGTCTCCGAAAGAGAGATAGCCTGTGATAGCCACGAGAATGTAGGTGGCTGCGGAGCTTCCGATACTGGCTAGAACAACGCCGGTCACCCGGAAGTGACTGTTGTTGCTAATTTCGTTCAATATAGAGAACATCTGCTTCCAGCGTCAGCATGATATGTCAGGAGTCAAAATGTCGCGCAGGCGGCCTACATTCTGATGACACGTGAACGCAAAGACGATGACCGGAAGACTACTGAGAGCTGGGATGGGACCAGCCCAATGAATCACACGGACAGGGCCCCGATCGTCCATTGTGTCTCCCTTTACAAAATGATAGACAACCAGTATGACCAAGTAGCCCATTGACACCAGAGCGGCGATACTCGTATACTTCAGTGAGTCCAGACGTCGGAGATAAGAGAGAGGAATGACAATCAACCTGAGATGAGTCGTCAGCACGGGTCCAGCTCAATTTTTGAGAGTTGCTGGACAACGAACATGAAAGCAGTAACCCAGAAATGCCGGTCCACCAAGAAGTCATATGCTGGAGTGCTACCAACGAAGCCCTGTACCACACCTGGCATCAAGTCACCAATGATGATGAGGTAACTGACCCCAACTCCAAAACATTTGATCGCGATAGCAGCGTCGAAAACAACGGCCGCATTGGGATATGTGAGCTGCGATAGGGCGAAGAAAGACGACCTGCCTCGATCGAGGTACTGTGCGCATCGAGCCTGAAGGTAAAGACCGAGTCCAGCGGTGATTCCGGACCAAAGAATGACGCAGATACCGAGAACGATTCCCATTCGAGAGATGGCGAGCGGCATCGCCAGAACGCCGGCACCGATGACTGTTGAGTCACGATTATATCAGCTCTGAGAATATATGGAGCTGATGTCACAATCAGTATAACTCACTCGTATTGACAAGGTTGATCACGCAGCTGATCCAACTGGCATCACCTTGAAACCCGGACGCTCGTTTTCCCCGTGCTCCACGTCTAAGCATGATTGCCACTTGATTAGCAAGAGATTCGCGTAACATATAGAGCGGTATCAGATTAACAATACCGTCGCGATGAATTCCGGAGTCCATCGCCGGGGCCGACCCCGACTACAGCATCCTCTCCCATCATCTGTGGTGAGGTGGCGGATGATTCTCTAACTGATAAGGGTAGTGGGCACGAGGGCTGTTCCGAAAGTTGTTATCACCAAATGAAGGTGCGATGGGGGTTGTCCAACATAACACCAACTCAGGCCAGCAGAGAGGAAATAGAAGTCCCAAGGGAAAAGTAAACGAGTGAAAGATCTGAAAGCAAGAAGTTCAACTTGAAGGGGCTACATCGGGGAGGCCGGGGATGATGACTGGAGATGAGATGGTGCGAGGCCCAGCCAGACTTGCGACAAAAAGCGGAGGACAATTCCGACCCATCTGGGTTTAGCGTGGCTGACTTATCATCCGCTTATCTCACGGTTATCTACTCCGCGGATCTACACAGCATCTCCATACCGTATATTGTCAACTATCAAAGTGTTTGTCATATTCCCCACTGAAGCCATTATGAAATAAAGCTAGAGCTTTACCTTTGACGCTCCCCATCCTTCCCCCGAAAGCAGATCATATACCTCATCCTCTACCTTGTTCATATCCGACACAGTGTTTCCCGGTCGTCCTCCTGGTCCAGGGTCATTGAATGGACTGACAGCGCGAACGCTCTTGGAGACTTCTAAGATGGTCCCCCCTTGCACGGGGAATTGAGTGCCTTGGCCTGATCTGTCGCCAATAACCTCGCTGACAGTGTCCTGCTGAACGAGAGCCAGCATCACTGCAGCCACCTCTTCTGGAGTTACCCATTCGTCGGCTTTATCGTCGACCATCTTCAGCTTTTCTGGATGATCCGTCCACAGAGGTGTTTTGATAACCCCCGGTGCAACAGCAGTCACACGGATGCCAAATTTGCTGTCAAGCTTGGCCAACGATCTCACCAGGCCATTGATGGCATGTTTCGTAGCTACATATATTGGCGCGGCCAGTGTTGGGCTCTGCCCCGCGATACTGGAAATATGGATGATATGCTTCGGTCTTTTGCTACTTTGATTGCGCAGAAAGTGAGATATAGCCAACTGAGTCGTGCGGATCGGATGTGTCAGGTTGATGTCCAGCAACGCGTATCGACCTCCATCTCGTGGATCACGGCTTTCTGGAGTCCCGGGAGGTCGCCAGAAATTGGACCAGTGCTGCAAGCCATCAACAAAGGGCTCCAAAATATAAATCATGAACCTGATAACTTGTTCGCATCAGGTAAGACCAGGCCTGCACGACATACCGGTTCGTAGATCCCAGCACCTGGACATACAATGTCGACATCACCAAACTCTTTCACCGCAACCTCAAACATTCTCTCTAGCTGCTCCCAGTCGACGACATCTGTTTTCTGGAAGACGGCTCGATTGGGTGTATTTGACTGACCAGAGTAATTGCTAACCACCACCTGCGCCTCAGGTCGAAGGGCCAAGTCTGCGATTAGGACGTTGCACCCATTCTCAAGCAGGAGTTTGGCGAAACATAAGTTGATGCCTATCAGGGGTTTAGCCATACATACATGTAGCGAGGGTCTGAGATGGCTGAAATGTCTTACGTACCTGAACTTGCACCTGTTACAATGGCAGATTTTCCTTTGACGGAAAAAGCCATGTTGTTGAAGGCTCAGGATGGAGTTTGGTTGAGGAGAGGACTGTCTTCCCAAGGTTGACAGGCCCAGGCTTAAATGTCATAGCAATCCAAGCCCCCCATCGAAGCATCCTGCTGGTTTCTCGTCGTCGTACCACCTTGAATGGGGTATTGAGGGGATGCGCGGGGTTGAATTGGCCCGAGGGTGACTGCTCCAACCCGGAAGGATGCCGACTTGAATCCAGGTAATGATGCTCTACTTCTACAAGAAGATTACTTTAGATCCAAGTTTGCGGCATGACTATCCGTTTCTTCTATGGCATATTTAGATGTAGATCGTATCCATTTGCCTTGAGTTGAAAGCCGACGAGCATGTTCTGATGATCATGTCGCTTTGCCCATACTCCGAACTCAGAGCGGGTACTTGCCTCATTAGGAAAGCGTGCCGCCTGCCATTTACGGTACCCCGCTCAGTTCTCCACCAATGTATACTGTCATACCGATGGCAATAATGTGTATATAAATCAGGGAAAGACCTCGAGTTGAAATATGGAATACGGACCAACGTTCTACTTACGAGCAAGCATTTCATCACTATGTCGGCGTCCAAACTTTTCTCTAGAGCAGCCGTTCGTGCTGCCTCTACGTCAACATCAACATCACATTTGACCAAGACCGCCGGGGACATTTCGAGTGTGTTTCCAAGCTTGCGACCTGACTACAAACCTGAACCGCTGCCTCCACGGTTCCAGGAACTGAAACAGAGGCTGTTCGAGAAAAACGAGAAGGCTCTGGTGCAAAGCTGGAAGAGACTGCTTGAAAGCCTAGAGAAAGAGGTGCATGAGATCAAGGCCAAGGGCAGCGATGTATATCATTCCGCAACTCATTGCCATTATTTTGACTAGGATGCTGACCGTTGGCAGATTATACCATCGGTACAATATGCAGATATTGTGTCCGGCAGAGTCTCGGATAAACTCCTTGCTGAGATATGGCACCGCGGATCTGTCGTGATCAGGAATGTGATCCCTCGAAAAGAAGCTCGAGGTTGGAAAGACAGGATTGAAGAGTATGTCGCTGCCAACAAGGAGCGAGTCAAGGCCTTTCCGCCTGACTCACCGGCAGTGTTTGAGCTGTACTGGACTCCTTCGCAGGCCGAGGCTCGAGCGCATCCCAACATGCTCGAGACTCAGCGTTTCTTGCAGCGTCTCTGGCATTCATCTGACCCGGCGACTCGGATATCCACCAGATATCCTCTCACATATGCGGACCGCCTCCGTATCAGACAGCCGGGAGATGGCAAATTCGCGCTTGGTCCCCACGTGGATGGAGGTTCACTCGAGCGTTGGGAGGATCCAGAGTATGCCCGGGTCTACACCAAGATCTTGGAAGGCAAATGGGAAGAATACGACCCTTGGGACGCGAAGCATCGCGTTTCCGCTAACATGGATCTGTACAATGGAGCGGGAGCATGTTCTATGCTGAGATTCTTCCAGGGCTGGCTTTCAATGTCTAAGACCGCGCCTAGAGAAGGCTCGCTGCATGTTTGCCCTATGCTCGTTCAGAGCACAGCCTATACCATTCTGCGTCCATTTTTCGATGCGAAGACATTGCAGCCCAACCTGGACGCCACCTTTCCGGGCTCCGTGCCAGGTGCTTGCCAAGAATACAATCCAGCTACCCATCCTCACCTTGAGCTGGACACCACCATGGTTTCGGTCCCAGAGGTCGAACCAGGCGATTATGTCGCCTGGCACTGCGACTCGTTGCATTCCGTGGACAAGGAACATAAAGGCAAGGGTGACTCCAGTGTCCTCTATATTCCTGCCACTCCAATGTGCGAGATGAATGTGGATTATCTCCTCAAGCAGCGGAACGCGGCTCTTGCCTATTCACCACCTTGGGATTTTCCCGGCGCTGGAGGTCCGGGTGAGGCAGGTTTTAAGGGTGCATTGAACTGGTCTTCTGTCAACCCCGATGGCCTGCAAGCCATGGGTATGGGCACAAAGCCTTGGGAAGTAACCAATGACATGACTGAGGGAGAGAAGAAAGTTGTTGAAGCAGCAAACAAGGCGTGCTTTGGCCAAGCTTAAGGGGTTACTTCCAAACTTTCATGTGACTTATCAGTCTACCTGTATATAGTGTGTCAATATCTCATTCTTCATTGCCATTGTTGTAGGATAAATAGTCTGTAGCATAAGATAGTTAAGAGAGGCTTAGTCTGGAGCTCACCTTAGCTCAGCGCTCATCACCGCCCGCACCACCAATCAACAGCGGCATCATCATCTCCGCCATCAGATACCTTAACCTGTTGACCACCAACTCCTTACTATCCAGCAGCCCACCTTACACCTCCAATGACCCCTTTGGAGCTGAGGTTATAAAAATGTGGCTACGGGTGGCACTCCTGCTGCTCACCTCATGTGTTCCCTCGACGGTGGCCATTTATCCTGATGAGGTCAATCATATCGATTTCCACCATGCGCTCCTGGGCACTCCCTCATCACACTCGACTTTCTTCCTCAAGCCTTCCTCCTCCTCTAATGCCTCCCTGCTCTATACCCTCTCGCAGAAACTACTTCTCGGTGCAGTGAACCCAAGAGATGGCTCACTGGTTTGGAGACAGAACGTCTCGCGATCATCGCTCTCGAAGGACGATGGCCAGTTACAGTCGTTCCTGTGTGCTTCCGACGGATCGAATGCGATGGTCAGCGCAGTGGGCGATTATATCTCTTCATGGAGTGCTTTGGACGGAAAATTGGTTTGGGAGAATTGGTTCGCTGGTGAGCCTGTGGTCGACCTCGACCTCTTGGAGCTCGAAGATGCCGGCGCGACTTCATCGGCTCGAGATGCGATCGCACTGTACGGTGAGAAGAGAGGTGTCCTCCGGAGGCTCGATGCCGAATCCGGGGATGTGAAGTGGGAGTTCAAGGATGATAGGTAAGATGAATCACCCTGTGAAATGCGTTGTCGTTGCTAATGCCTTTCTCTGTCTCGTTGATTCAGTGGCGACACTCCCCTCCAAATATCATCCTCCGCAACCGAAGTTTTCTACATCTCTCTACAGTCGGGCCTGCTCAAGGGCTACAGGATCAAAGTCACTTCACTGGATCCCCTCACCGGCCGACAGACTCAGCAGCTCATTTTGAACACGGAGAGTGACGTGTCTGGACCGGAGTCGATTCTCTTCGTCGGCGCCAACACCGCTTCTCCAGTGATCATTTGGACGGACAAGGCACAGAAAGCTTTGAAGGTCAACCAGATTGGTCTGAAGCAAGTCAATACACTCAACATTGACAACACGAGCGGCGAGGAAATCAGGTCGATTGAAGTCCATACCCCAAAGAAACTTAACTCGTTGCCGCATTTCCTTGTCCACTATGAAACGGACTCCAGCTCCTGGGCGGAAGTGTATCACATTGATCTGACCTCGGCGACTGTTTCCAAAGCGTATAGTCTTCCTCGTATGCAAGAGAAATCTGCCTTTGCGACCAGTAACGTTGACGCCAATGTCTACTTCACCCGCGTCACTCAGTCGGAGGCCGTTGTTGTCTCATCTGCCTCTCATGGAGTCCTGGGCAGATGGCCGCTGCAGGCGCCTACGACTGAGCACGCTCAACATGCTGTGTCAGAAGTAGTCGCCAAGGGGGACGCCGTCGCCGTTCGGTCCGCAACAGTCTTGTCGTCGGGTGACTGGCAACTCATTCGGAACGGCCAGAGTGAGTGGACGAGATACGAGGCACTGAATGGAGCGGTTGCCGCTTCCTGGGCTGAGGAAGAATACCAGGAAGAGCTCGCTCATGAATTGGAAGTTGAGGGGCATGAGAGCTTATACAAGGCCTATGTCCATCGTGTCAAGCGCCACGCCAAAGACTTGCAACACCTTCCAGAGTGGCTGAAGGAATTACCTAAGCGTATTCTGACTAGTATTCTCAGCGACGAAGTGTCGAGCCTTGACGGTTTTGGACTCAGCAAAGTTGTCGTTGTAGCTACTGAGAATGGACGAGTGTATGGCATCGACACGGGAAATCACGGCGCTGTCTCTTGGAGTGTCAAGGCTGCTGAATCAGACAGCTGGAGCGTGAAGGCCATCCTCACTGAACCAGGCTACGCCACTGTGTACGTCGACGATGGTAGCTCAGTGAGCCTGAACACGACGTCTGGGGCTATTATCAAGCGTACCCCTGCCTCAGGCAAGATCGCTTCTATCGCTGTTATTAATGATGCTTCAGACCTTATCACCATTGGCGTCAAGGAGGATGGTGTGCCAGTGGAGCCTTTGGATAAATCTGGCATTTTCGTGACTCTCAGCGTCGATGGCCGTGTCTTGGGATGGAGTGCCGCCGACAACAAATCGCCTGTCTGGGAATTCCTGCCTGCTCAGGGCCAAAGGATCATTCGCGCTATTGCACGCCCCGCTCACGACCCTGTTGCCTCTATCGGCAAAGTTCTGGGCGACCGGTCGGTTCTTTACAAGTACCTGAACCCGAACCTGGCTCTGATCACGGCTGTGGGTGAAGACACGGCCACCTTCTACCTGCTGGACGCCATTTCCGGGAAGATTCTTCACAGCAGCACTCAGAAGGGCGTTGATACCAGTCAGCCTATTGCTTCCGCCATCTCCGAGAATTGGTTCGTTTACTCCTTCTATGGCGATCCGGCAACACCGTCAGACGCCAAGGGTTATCAGCTGGTGGTTTCGGAGCTCTACGAGTCGCCACTCCCCAACGACCGAGGCCCGTTGGGCTCTGCCTCGAACTACTCCAGTATCCACGGCACTGACATCCTGCCCCTGCCTCACGTGATTTCTCAATCCTTCATCATCCCCGAACCCATCTCGCACATGGCCGTCACGCAGACCCGTCAAGGTATTACAACCCGCCAAATTCTCTGCACACTCCCAGCTTCGAACTCCATCGTCGGCATTCCTCATCCGGTGTTAGACCCCCGACGCCCTGTCGGAGGGGACCCAACCTCTACCGAGGCCGAAGAGGGTCTGTTCAAGTACAGCCCCGTCCTCGAGT